GGGAGGCTGAGGCAGGAGAATGGCGTGAACCCGGGAGGCGGAGCTTGCAGTGAGCTGAGATCCGGCCACTGCACTCCAGCCTGGGCGACAGAAAAAGACTCCGTCTCAAAAAAAAAAAAAAAAAAAATTAGTCAGGTGTGCTGGCATGTACTTGTACTCCCAGCTACTCAGGAGGCTGAGGCAAGAGAATCACTTGAACCCGGGAGGTGGAGGTTGCAGTGAGCCGAGATCATACCACTGCACTCCAGCCTGGACGACACAGCAAGATTCCATCTCAGGAAAAAAAAAAAAAAAAAAAAGGCTCTCAGCCAGACGCAGGGGCTCACATGTATAATCCCAGCACTTTGGGAGGCCAAGGCAGGCAGATCGCTTGAGCTCAGGAGTTTGAAACCAGCCTGGGCAACATGGCAAAACCTCATCTCTACAAAAAAAAAAATATATACAAAAATTAGCTGGGTATGGTGGCACATGCCTATAGTCCCAGCTACTTGTAAGCCTGAGGTGTGAGTATCAAGGCTGCAGTGAGCTGAGATGGTGCCACTGCACTCCAGCCTGAGCAACACAGTGAGACCCTGTCTCAAAAAAAAATAAAATAAAAATAGAAAAGCCCACTCTATGTGTCATAGGTGGTTTCCTGGAGGAGGTGGGACTTGAGAATTTGCTCTTTGAGCTGAAAGCAGAAGGTTGATGAGGCATAAATTAGATTTAAGTCAGGGCACTAGCACATGCAGAGGCCCAGGGGTTAAATAAAGCAAGGATGAGACTGGGTGCGGTGGCTCATACCTGTAGTCCCAGCACTTTGGGAGGCCAAGGTGGGCGAATCTCTTAAGCCCAGGAAGGGTAATGGATAACGTGGCAAAAACCGATCTCTACAAAAAATACAAAGGTTAGCCAGGCATGGTGGTGCACATCTGTAATCCCAGCTACTCCGGAGGCTGAGGTGGGAGGATCACTTGAGCCCAGGAGGCAGAGTTTGCAGTGAGCCGAGATCACGCCACTACACTCCAGCCTGGGCTACAGAGTGAGATCGTGAGACCCTGTCTCAAAAAAAAAAAAGGCCAGGTGGCGGTGGCTCATGCCTGTAATCCCAGCCCTTTGGGAGGCCAAGGCAGGTGGATCACCTGAGGTCAGGAGTTTGAGACCAGCCTGGCCAACGTGGTGAAACCCCATCTCTACTAAAAATACAAAAATGAGCCTGGCGTGGTGGCGCATGCCTGTAGTCCCAGCTCCTCGGGAAGCTGAGGCAGAACGGCTTAAACTTGGGCGATGGAGGTTGCAGTGAGCCGAGATCACGCCATGGCACTCCAGCCTAGGCGACAGAGTGAGACTCCGTCTCAAAAAAAAAAAAAAGAGAGAGAAAGAGGGCTTCGTGTGGATCGCGGGGCCCCGCCAGCGGGGGTGAGGGGTTGGGATGTCATTAATCCAAAGAGGGTTTCTCAGCAGGGGAAGGACGTGGTCCCAGCATAGGAGAGACACAGTGGGTGGGGGCTGCTCTGGGAAGGACGTGGAGCAGGGACGGCTTGTTTCTCCTTGCCCAGACGGTGATCGTTGGCTCCTACCTGATTGCACATGGTTTCTTCAGCGTCTATGGCATGTGTGTGGACACACTGTTCCTCTGCTTCTGTGAGTGACCCCTCACCCCAAACCTTGCTGGGCCCCAAATCCCTTCTTCCCACTGGGCATCACCTCACCCTCCAACGGGGCACCACGGTCGCCTGCCCCCAGCTTCCCCGGGGCTTGGCTGTCCCTCGTCCTGGGTCCCCAGCCTGTCTTCCTGGTTTCCTTTTGCGCTTAGAAGCAACTCCAACCTCCTGTCCACTTGCCCAGGCTGCAGCCTGGACGCTGCCCTGGAGCCCACCCGTGCTTCGCAGTTTCTGGCTTTGATGGGGGGGGGATCTGTGGCTGCCACTAACTCTGGTTTCTCCAACTGTTTTTTTTGTTTGTTTGTTTTTTTCGTCTCTCTTCCTCTCCTCCATGCCTGCTGGCTTCCCTGTTCTTCCCTGCCTCCCTCTTTCCCTCCCTTCCTGACCACCCCATTTTCCCCCTGCCGGTTCCCGGGGGGAGCCCAGGTGAGGACCTGGAAAGGAATGACGGCTCTCAGGAGCGACCCTACTTCATGTCGCCCGAGCTGAGAGACATCCTGTTGAAGGGGAGTGCGGAGGAGGGGAAGCGGGCGGAAGCCGAGGAGTAGAGAGTGAGGGAGGCTGGCGTGGGGGCCAGGTTTCCTCCATGTAGACTGGGGGTGCATGAAGCGGGGGGGCTTCCTGGCCTGGGAGTGTGGGGATCCTGTGTGTTCCTCGGAGCCCACTACAGTCTGCCCCTCTCTGGTCCCAGTGTGTCTGCTTTCTAACCCTCTGAGGCTTCTCTGTGACCCTTGTCCACCCACCCTGTCCCCGGAGGCCCCTGCCCGTGGGCTCCCCTCATGCCTCCTGCTCTGGGACCTCTCTCCGCAGTGGAGGACCTGGAGAGGAATGACGGCTCGGCCGAGAGGCCTTACTTCATGTCTTCCACCCTCAAGAAACTCTTGAACAAGACCAACAAGAAGGCAGCGGAGTCCTGAAGGCCCCGCGCTCCCCACCTCTCAAGGAGCCTCACGCCGCAGGGTGCTCAGTAGCTGGGTCTGTTCCCCCAGCCCCTTGGGCTCACCCGAAGTCCTATCACTGCCGCTCCGCCCCCTCCCCATGAGCCAGAGCCCACCAGTTTCTGGACCTGGAGAGTCCGGGGTATCTCCTTCTTATGCCAAGGGGCGCTTGGAGTTTTCATGGTTGCCCCTCAAGACTACGAGAAATGAGTAAAAACCCAGTGGGGCCTCTTGCTGTCTGGGACGGCATGTGGCCCGACCTCCGCAAGCTCCCTCATGCTTCCTGCCCCCGCTTACACGACGACGACGACGGGCCAGACCACAGGAAGGATGGTGTTTGTGTCTGAGGGACCTGCTGGCCGCAGTGAACACCCACGTTTATTCCTGCCTGCTCTGGCCAGGACTGAACCCCTTCTCCATACCTGAACAGTTGGCTCCAGGGCCACCAGAAGCATTTCTTTATTATCATTATTTTTTAACCTGGACATGCATTAAAGGGTCTATTAGCTTTTCTTTCCATCTGTCTCAACAGCTGAGATGGGGCCGCCAAGGAGTGCCTTCCTTTTGCTCCCTCCTAGCTGGGAGTGACTGGGGTGGGGGTGTGTGTGCCCAGGTGGGGGTATCTCCTGGCTGGGAAGGAGGGAGCGGGAGGGAGACTTTTGCTTGCAGGGGTTGGCAGTGGAGAGCGGGCTGGAGAGGAGATCGCTAATAGCTGTTTAATGGAAACCTGCTGGGCTGGAGGGAGTTAGGCTGAATTTCCCGACTTCCTCTGCCAGTTATTGACACAGCTCTCTTTGTAAGAGAGGAAAGAAACTGAACCCACCCAAGGGATGATTTCAGGGGGAGAGGTGGAGGGCAGATGCCCTGGGCAAACCCGGCCCCTCTGCCCACACACCTCACTTGATGATCCTTTTGCCAAACTTGTCGAACTCAGGGGACCTGGCTTCCCGGTTGCCCCTCTGCCATATTCCAAGGCCCCCTCAGACTTCACGTCTCTGCTCATCAGCACTGTCCCAGGATCCTGGAGAGGGAGAACCCCCGACCCCAGGGGAAAGAAGGGGGGGGTCTCCCCTTTCCTGTGTCTGCGCCAGCCCTGCCCCCATTGCGTCTGCACACCCCTGCGTGTAACTGCATTCCAACCACTAATAAAGTGCCTATTGTACAGGTCCAGGCCTGGTGTGTTTGTGGGGGGCAGTGAGCCAGTGGGCGGCTGGTAGGGGGAACCCCCATTTCCAAGGCCCTAGGAGTCTCTGAGCTGTGGCGATTCTCTCAACACGCAGGAGGAGGGGGCCGGAAACCCACTGGCTGCTGGCTCTGCCTGAATTCCAACCTTCAGGCAGCTCAGATTTCCCCTGATTAGGCCCTAATCCCTGGATTCCAGAAGGCAGAGGCAGCCTGTCCACCTCCCCTATCACCCATCCTGGACACGTGCCCCCAGGGCCCAGGCACCTGAGGTCGTGCAGTCTATGCTCCCCTGCTACTTTGGGTCTGCGAAGGGACCGCCCTTGGGGTGGGCCCTGCTGCCTGGAAGCTCACTGCTGCCCCCTCGTGCCAGCTGCCTGTGTCAGCCACCTCCAGACAATCCGCCCCAGTATTTCAACTGTCTTTGCTCTCCACTCCCCTTTCTTGGGGAATTTTTCTTCAATATCCACTTTTTTTTTTTCCCCCCAGACAGTCTTGCCCTGTCACCCAGGCTGGAGTGCAATGGTGCAATCTCAGCTCACTGCAACCTCCGCCTCCCGGGTTCAAGCGACTCTCCTGCCTCAGCCTCCCAAGTAGTTGGGATTACAGGTGCATGCCACCACGCCTGGCTAATTTTTTGTGTTTTTAGTAGAGACGGGGTTTCGCCATGTTGGGCAGGTTGGTCTCGAATTCCTACTTCAGGTGATCTGCTCGCCTCGGCCTCCCAAAGTGCTGGGATTACAGGTGTGAGAGCCACCTCGCCCAGCCTTTTTTTTTTTTTTTTTTTTTGAGACAGGGTCTCACTCTGTGGACGAAGCTTAAGTGCAGTGGTGCAATCATGGCTCACTGCAGCCTCAGGTGATCCTCCCACCTTAGCCTCCTGAGTAGCTGGGATCGCAGGTACACACCACACCTAAGTTTTGTATTTTTTATAGAGATTGGGTTTTACCATATTGCCCATGCTTTTTTTGTTTGTTTGTTTTTGAGACAGAGTCTCCCTTTGTGGCCCAGGCTGGAGTGCAGTGGCACAGTCTCAGCTCACTAAACCTCCCGGGTTCAAGTGATTCTCGTGCTTTAGCCTCCCGAGTAGCTGGTATTACAGGCACTCACCACCACATCCAACTAATTTGTTTGTTTGTTTGTTTTTGAGACGGAGTCTTGCTCTGTAGCCCAGGCTGGAGTGCAGTGGCGTGATCTCAGCTCACTGCTAGCTCCGCCTCCTGGGTTCATGCCACTCTCCTCCTGCCTCAGCCTGGGCGATAGGGCGAGACTCCGTCTCAAAAAAAAAAAAAAAAAAAAAAGCTCCTGGCGGCCAGGCGCAGTGGCTCACGCCTATAATCCCAGCACTTTGGGAGGCTGAGGAGGGCGAATCACGAGGTCAGGAGTTCAAGACCAGCCTGGCCAACACGGTGAAAACCTGCTGCTACTAAAAATACAAAAATTAGCCAGGCATGGTGGCACACACCTGTAATCCCAGCTACTTGGGAGGCTGAAGCAAAAGAATTGCTTGAACCCAGGAGGCAGAGTTTGTGGTGAACCAAGATGACACTATAGAACTCCAGCCTGGGCAACAGAGTGAAACTGTCTCAGAAAAAAAAAAAAAAAAAAGAATGGTGGTACGATACATATAGCACAAAATTTGCCATCTCCATCTCTTTTTTATTAAGCAACTGGGTCTCACTATGTTACCTAGGCTGGCCTTGAACTTCTGGACTGAAGGGATCATCCCGCCTCAGCCTTCCGAGTAGCTGGGATGACAGGCACTCACCACTGTGCCTGGTTTCTGTTAAATTTTTCGAGGAACCACCATAGTGTTTTCTGGCTTCATGCTTTGGCTCCACTTTCTTCTAGGTTGGCTCCACTCTCTGCCAAGTTCCTTTATCTGGGTATATTCCCTGCCTCCAACCACACTGTGCTGTGATAGTTAATTTTAGGTGTGAACTTGGCTGGATTAGAAAATACCCAGATTTGAGCTGTGATGTAAAAATAAGACAAAGAAAAAAAAAAAACAGTGACTGGGCTTAGTGGCTCGCACCTACAATCAGCATTTTGGGAGGCTGAGGTGGGCAGATGGCTTGAGCTTGAGTTTGATCGAGACAAGCCTGGGCAACATGTGGAAAGCTTGTCTCAACCAAAAATACGAAAATTAGCAGGGTGTGGTGGTCACGCACATGTTGTCCCAGCTACTCAGGAGGATGAAGTGAGAGGGTCACTTTAGCCCAAGAGGGGCAGTGAGCTTAGATCACACTACTGTGCTCCAGCCTGGGTGACAGAGCAACACCTTCTCTGATAAAGCATTACTTCTGGGTGAGCGTCATCCAATCTGCAGGGCTCCGATAGAACAGAAAAAGGAGAGAAAGGATTTTCCTCCCCAGAGCTGGGATACCCTCCTCCTCCTGTCTTGACAAGACTTATACTAGTGATCCCTGGTTCTCAGGCCTTCGACCTTGGACTTGGAATTACACCATTGGTGTCCCTGGCTCTGAAGCTTCAGGATTCAGACGAAACCTCGCTACTGGTTTTCCAGGGTCTCCAGCTACTGGAGCTACTGGCTTTAGGGTCTGCAATGTGTGTGGTAGGACAGCTCAGCCTCCATGATCACATGAGCCAATTACCCTAATAAATCCCCTCTCATCTACCTGCCTCCTATGAGCTTTCTTTGGAGAAACCTAATAATACACACATCATACGTTTTCCTGGCTCTCTTTTTTTTTTTTTTTGAGATGGAGTCTCCCTCTGTCGCCCAGGCTGGAGTGCAGTGGTGCGATCTCAGCTCACTGCAAACTCCGCCTCCCAGGCTCACACCATTCTCCTGCCTCAGCCTCCTGAGTAGCTGCGACCACAGGTGCCAGCCACCATCTCCAGCTAATTTTTTTTTTTTTTTTTTGTATTTTTAGTAGAGACAGGGTTTCACTGTGTTAGCCAGGATGGTCTTGATCTCCTGACCTCGTGATCTGCCTGCCTTGGCCTCCCAAAGTACTGGGATTACAGTCATGAGCCACCGCGTCCAGCCACATTTTCCTGGCTTTAAGATGAGAAGTCTTCTTTTTTTTTGAGACAAAAGTCTTGCTCTGTCACCCAGGCTGGAGTGCAGTGGCGTGATCTCAGCTGACTGCAAGCTCCGCCTCCCAGATTTAAGCGATTCTCCCGCCTCAGCCTCCCGAATAGCTGGGATTACAGGCGCCCGCCACCATGCCCGGCTAATTTTTGTATTTTTAGTAGAGATGGGGTTTCACCATCTTGGCCAGGCTGTTCTTGAACTCTTGAACTGTTGCCACCCACCTCTGCCTCCCATAAGTGCTGGGATTACAGGGCCATAGAAGTCTTTTCTTCCTCCTAAGTCTCAGGCCTGGAGCTCACTGACTCTGACCAACCTGATTATGATCATTTACTCATTGTAAATCATTGAGTCAATCATTCTGGTCAAAGTATGGGTCTAGTTTGGGAGTCAGGCAGTGGGGACCTGCCATCTGGACAACAGTTTGATGAAGGGAGAGGAATGGTTCCCCAACGACTGTGGTCATCCCAGTGTCCACCCTGGGGGGAGTAAGAAGGGAACAGGCATATGACAAAAAGCTTTCAAGAGGGAAGTTAACTGGATGTGATTGGGAGGGCCGGTGGAATCTTTCAAGATGAGGAAGACAATGAATAGAGAGGCTGTAAGGACAGCAGAGTCACTGAGAGCGACAGGACCTGTCTAGACAGAGGGATTGCAAGAGGGGGATGACCTCAATCTTCAACCAATGAGTGGGAGGGAGGGAAGAGAGAAGAAGGAACAGCCAGTTGACAGATGATGTCACTAAGGCAAGGAAGCGAGAATGGTGTTGTATATAGGGTTTGTGACCACTGAGTGGTGGAAGGGCAAGGGCAGAGGTGGGAGGTTGGGTCAGGATAGCAGTTCAGTAAGACAGGGCAGATGGCATCTTGTGTCTTCCATCCTTTATGGTGACCAAGGACTAGGAGCCTGACGGATGGGGTTTATTGGAAGGTTGGCCTGAAAACTTTTTACTTAAAAAAAATTTTTTTTCTTTTTTTTTCTTAGACACAGTCTCGATGTCACCCAGACTGGAATGGGGGGTGGCTCAATCTCGGCTCACTGCAACCTCTACCTCCCAGGTTCAAGCAATTCTCATGCCTCAGCCTACCGAGTAGCTGGAATTACAGGCGCTGGCCATCATGCCCAGCTAATTTTTGTACTTTTAGTGGAGACAGAGTTTTATCATGTTGGCCAGGGTGGTCTTGAACTCCTGACCTCAAGTGATCCACCAGTCTTAGCCTCCCAAAGTGCTGGGATTACAAGTATGACCCACGGCACCCGGCCTTCTTTTTGTTTTTATTCTTGAAAACTTTTTTTTTTAAATGTAGAGATGGGGCTGGGTGCGGGTAGCTCACACCTGTAATCCCGGCACGTTGGGAAACCAAGGTGGGTGGATAACTTGAGGTCAGGAGTTTGAGACCAGCCTGGCCAACATGAAACCCAGTCTCTACTAAAAATACAAAAACTAGCTGGGCATGGTATTGTACGCCTGCAATTCCAGTGACTTGGGAGGCTGAGGCAGAATTGCTTAAACCCAGGAAGTGGAGGTTGCAGTAAGCTGAGATCGTATCATTGCACTCCAGCTGGGGCTACAGAACAAGACTCCATCTCATAAATGAATAGAATAGAATAGAATAGAATAGAATAGAATAGAATAGAATAGAATAGAATAGAACAGAACAGAACAGAACAAAATAGGAGATGGGGTCTCACTATGTTGCCCAGACTGGCCTTGAACTCCTGGGCTCAAGCAATCCCCCTGCCTCAGCCTCCCAAAGTATAAGATTACAGGTGTGAGTCACCGTGCCTGGCGAAGACAGCACTTTTAAGGAAGTTCTGGTTGGAAGGGGCACCAGTTCAAGAGGTAACGATCACAACCATTACTGTTTTTGAAGCTTCAACTCCATGCCAGGTACTGAAGCAACCCCTTGATGTTGAATTAACTCCAAATCAGTCCTCCTCCAAACCAAACCCTAGGTTTGGGTTTGACCCAAAGACTGTGCTTGTCATCATGATCCTTTCCACCCTTTACTGTGTTTGGGGACCCTGGGGCAAGAAACGCCTTAGCGGAATGAGATCTTCAAAAGCATTTTAAGTAACCTTGGGCTCTCTGGAGTTTGGAGTCAGAAAACTAGTAACCATCCTCATTCTGCCACTTGGCAGCGCTGTTAGTTCAAACAAGTCACTACCCGCATTGACCTGTTCCGAAAAAAGTCAGCCTAGGCTTTGTTATTAACATTCATTATCACACTGACCTTGAACAATTTAAACTTACTTTAATCATTTTTTTGGTTTCGTTTTTGTTTTTTTGAGACAGGGTTTCTGTCGCCTAGGCTAGAGAGCAGTGGCCCAATCTCAGTTCACTGCAGTCTCAACCTCTTGGGCTCATATGATCCTCCTACCTCAGCCTCCTGAGCAGCTGGGACTACCGGTGTGTACCACCATGCCCAGGCATTTTAACCAATTTTATCTTAATGCATGCCCCAATCATCTTACCAAACCTTTCTTCAGTTTTTAGCTCTATTTGTGAGACAGATCTGAGGCATAGGAAACGAAATTAAAAAGCCTTGTGCGAATAATTTATCAATTTATGTGAAAAACAAGAATACAATTATGCATCTCTGAAAATAAAACTTTGTAGAGTTGGCCAGGTGCAGTGGCTCACACTTGTAATCCCAGCACTTTGGGAGGCCAAGGCGGACAGATCACCTGAGGTTGGGAGTTCGAGACCAGCCTGACCAACATGGAGAAACCCCATCTCTACTAAAAATACAAAATTAGCCAGACGTGGTGGTGCATGCCTGTAATCCCAGCTACTCGAGAGGCGGAGGCAGGAGAATCGCTTGAACCTGGGAGGCAGAGGTTGCAGTGAACCGACATCGTGCCATTACACTCTAGCCTGGGCAACAAGAGCAAAACTCGGTCTCAAAAAAAAAAAAACTCTGTAGAGTTACACAAAAAACTGTACAATGGCTGCTAAGAGGGAGGGAACTGGGTGTCTGAGGAAGACTTTGTGCTCTCATGTCTTTGGCACATTTGACGTATCATGTGACTATGCTACCTATTAAAAATCCACAGTAAAATGTAAATAAAACAGCAGAGGGTACAGTATGCACTCTTTTTTGAGACAGGGTCTAGCTGTGCCATCCAGGCTGAAGTGCAGTGACTCCATCATGGCTCACTGCATCCTGGACCTCCACAGCTCATGCGATCCTCCCACCTCCTCCTTCCAAGTAGATGGGACTATGGGCACAGGCCATCACGCTCTGCTAATTTTTGTAGAAACTGGGTTTTGCCATGTTGCTCAAGCCGGCCTCAAACTCCTGGGCTTAAGGGATCCTCCAGCCTCAGCCTCCCAAAGTGCAGGGATTACAGGCGTGAGCCACCATGCCCGGCCAGGCACTCATTTTTGTAATTGTTGCGGGAAACACAGGACCAGAGAGACCAACGTGGGAAACAGGAGGATTTATTTAGGTGTACACCAGCTCAGTGGATTCATGTCTGAAAAGCTGAGCATTGAACAAAAACTGAGTGTGGTTTTTATAGGCAAACTTACAGAAGCAAAACAAAAGCAGTTAATGATACAGTGACAGGTCATGTAATCTACAGCATAACTGTTGACTTAGCATAACTTGTGGCTTTGCACAGCTGTTGGCCTTGCAGCTGCATCGAAAGGAAAACAGAATCTACAAATCTTACTAAATACAAGCATTGGCAAACGCAGTAATAACTAATGGTTCAGAGAAGGAGAGACAGTAAAGGAATTTGTTTTTCTTTTCAACTTTGCTCCGGAGGAGGGTGTCTGGAGCCCATTCCTTTGGCCTCGACTTTTCAGCGCTATCTTATAAGCATTCAAGGACACCACGCTTTTAAGGACAAGGCACTCGGTCACGGGCGCCTTTACTGATGTGAGCTGGCTAAGCAGAGGAAAACTTGTTCTGCTTTTCTTTCTAACCCCTGCCTTGCCACATAATCACATCTTTACACTTCAGTTTTTTTTTTTTTTTTTGGAGATAGGGAGTTGGAGTCTCGCTCTATTGCCCAGGCTGGAGTGCAGTGGTGCCATCTCAGCTCACTGTAACCTCTGCCTCCCAGGTTCAAAGTGATTCAAGCCATTCTTGTGCCTCTGCCTCCTGAGTAGCTAGGATTGTAGGCGCACACCACCACACCGGGCTAATTTTTTTTTTTTTTTTGGGGCTGAGTCTCACTCTATTGCCCAGGCTGGAGTGTAATGGTACAATCTCAGCTCACTGCAACCTCTGCCTCCTGGGTTCAAGCGATTCTCCTGCCTCA